AGAGAGAGAGAGAGAGAGAGAGAGAGAGAGAGAGAGAGAGAGAGAGAACTGGAGACTCAAAGGTAATGAGGAAGAGCCTGATGTGAGTAGCTGATGATACATCCTGATATATGTGGCCACCAGGGACCAGTCCTGGATTTGTGGCTCCTTAGCACCAGGAGTTTGTTGCCACCAAAGGCCAAGGAGATATCTGTGGTCTGGGATTCTGCCTAGGGACATATTGATGTCTGAGGACTGTTCAGAACTTGCTCCACCCTTCATTTGCGAATAATGAGAGAGCTGTTCTTAGAGGCATAAAAACAGAAAAGCAGACCCCATCCCTGTCCAGCTCCAGAGAATAGGCTCTGCACATTGTGGGGTTTGTGGGAGAGCCAGATACTAGTGTGTAGAACTGGTCCCACCTCTTTTCTGCTGTTAAATGACATGGCAGATGGAGATATGGCCCCCACACTCCATTTTTTTCTCCATTGCCACATACATTAGTCTGTAGAGCTGACCCTGAGGTCATCAAAGTGGGAGAGCTACCACTGACCCTTACGACAACAGTATGGGCCCTGAACCTCACCTGGGGCATAGAAAAGAGCTGGCCCTTCTTGCAGGGTTTTCTAGTGAGTCATCTCCTAGGGCATGAGGGCAGAGAGCTGGAAGACAGATCAGGTCAAATACTTCTCTGACCCAGATCCAGGAGTTTGAATTGGGACACTCCAACATCTATCCCATTGGTGCATGGGGTGCATGAAGTGACTCATCCTATAGATCCAAACCAACAGGACCTCCATCACACAAGGCAACAGTAGGTTATCTGAGAATAAGCCAAGTGAGGTTCCTGTGATGGTCATCCCGACAACAGCTCATTTGCAATGAACATTTGCAAGCAAAAGAAAGCATGAACAAAAGTGTATTGTATGGGACAAACTGTGACACACTATAGCTTCCACCATGAGAGTTTTTTCCCTGTTGGGAGTAGGAGGTTTCAAAGATGGAGGGTAGGTCCAAGGGGAAAAGGAATGATTGGGATTGGGGTAAATGTTGTAAAAATAGCAAAGAGACAACAAAAAGGTTTTGGAACTGGAGAGATTTTATATTAATAATTAATCACATACCTTAAGGCCTTGCTAAAACAAGAATAGATAGCATCCAAAAAGAATATATGGGAATTGACCATAAAAGTCAAGGATAAAATTAATTAAATACATTTTAGAAAAAAAATACAGAGAAACAATGAAACAAATAATTACTTGAGGTTCACCTAAGCCCTTTGCAACACTAAACCACAACAACTAACATCAGACACTGCCTCATGGTTGAAATGTTCATTATTCTAAGTATGACACTGATAGAGCTTAAACAATGGCCTAAGTTTTATCCATCATTGGTTACTCAGAAATATTTGGTATGTAGTTAATTTAAAATTTTATTTGAGGAAAATTTCCAAAGAAAATGAGCTTTGTTTTTAAAAATACAATAATGTCATGTGTGAATATTTTACCATGCTATAAATGAATTGAAAATCTAATATAATATCATTTCAGGTAAAAATCAGCATATCACAAAAAGTCTCAGAATGAGATATTAGGCCTTACCATAAATGCTTTAAGTTGTGAATTTCAAAATAAATACATGAAAGTCAACTAAAGTTTATATGAGTAATATTTATAATTTTGATAATTTTAACCCAAATGTTTCTGGTACTAAAATGGTCACTGCAACATTACCTACATTATACTCTATTTAATAAGTAATGTTTTAAAGTCAATAAATCCTACAATTAAAAATATCACTCCAAACAATAAAAAAATCATACATCAAGCGAACACTTAAAAACTTGCTTTTGTTTGCTCATTCATATTACACAATATTTAAATAGAATGATGTACGTACCAGAAAGATCTCAGAGCATGTGGTTTAACATGTCCTTCTGGTCAACTCGGGTTATGTAATTAAATAGAAAGGCCAAAACCACTAAGTTATCCTTGGACTCTACATCTGGAAAATGAGTGAAATGTCATTCACTTATTCAACCTTCATTTAACTGTCTTCAATTCATCTTTAATCTAATTAGGGATATACATTTTATTTATTCTCAAGTTTGTACATATACCTGGAAAGGGTATAGGAGCTCTTATGTTGCTGATATACCATTACATTTCCAAATGTCTAAATCAAATTCCCTTGCAACAGCTTAAAGCCACTTTTATAATTTTAATTTATTTGAGGAGATACATCATTCTTAAGCATTCTGATGGGGTGGTGTCCATTACTGACTAACAACAGAGGATATTTCAGCCCAGCTTGTTTGTCATTGCTTTCTATATCTCCTATTAATAGCAAATTCCAGCATATCTTGAATTTGTTTATATCTGTTTGCATTCTACATACATGGGTGAAATGATCAATTCATTTAGGCCAGAATAGAAGGTGCCTGTAAAATAGCAGTATAGAAACTGATCAAGTCTTTCCATTTTGCCGAACTCTAACTTTGTGGTATTTTAACTATTTTAGTTTTTAAAAAATGTTATCACAAATACAGAACTTAGTTATTTGTTATCAGATCAAACATTCAAAATCTATATTGTTGTAAGAAACAAATTTCAGCCTATACATTTCTCTATGTTCTATGTTTTTTTTTTAAATGGGCATGTATAAAATTCTATTTTCTTTTTCTTTCTTTCTTTCTTTCTTTCTTTCTTTCTTTCTTTCTTTCTTTCTTTTTTTTTTTTTTTGGTTTTTCGAGACAGGGTTTCTCTGTGTAGCCCTGGCTGTCCTGGAACTCACTCTGTAGACCAGGCTGGCCTGGAACTCAGAAATCTGCCTGCCTCTGCCTCCCAAGTGCTGGGATTAAAGGCATGCACCACCACCGTCTGGCTATATTTTCATAAACAGTATTCATCCTGTTCTTCTAAATCAGTCCTACAAGCCTCATTTACCATTATTGTCCTGTCACAGAAAGTTAAAATCAACATTACCTCATTCTAATTGAAGAAAATATCTCTGAATTCTATCTAGATTTCCCAGATCAAGCTCATACAAGAAAATTAGATATGAAGCACTATGAAAATTGAATTGAAGTCTAAAGAGTATTTTAATGACAGTACATTTCCATCACTATTGATAAGACACTAAAGTAGATTTCAAATACCAAAGGAGAAGAAAAAAAGTCAAAAGTAGAAAGAGAAGAGGAGAAGTAAGAAAAGGACATAGAAGAGTGTTTAGCTTAAAAATGTAATAAAATATTGGTACAGAGTTTAGAGTTATCCATTTAAAATATGATGTACTATGGCTTTATAAATTTTGTAATAATTTAATTAATAGTTTCTTAGTATCATAATTTCGTATAATGTGAGGTACATCTTTATACTAATAGTTTATCTTTTTTAAATTTTAAATTTTTAAATATATATATATATATGTGTGTGTGTGTGTGTGTGTGTGTGTGTGTGTGTGTATGTTTGTGTGTGTGTGTCTATGCGCAATATGTTGGGAATTATCTAAGATAATCAGAAGGGAGTGACAGGTTCCCTGGAGCTAAAGTTGTGGGCAGTTACAAGCTGCCCATTGTGGTTGCTTGGAACAAAAGTTGGGTAGTCTGGAAGATTAGTAACAACTTAAAATCACTGAGTAATCATTCCAGCCTGTCCTCAATCTTTTGAATAATTATGAAATGATTAAATATTATAAAATTATTATAAGGTAGGGAAAATTTGAGCTGTGTTGAAAAGAGAACAAACATAATGTTGAATAAAAATATTTTAAATAAATTAAATATTGAAAGATAGTTTTGAAGAAAAAATATTGGAGCTAGAATGAAATCTGGAAGAGTGAAAAATAGAAAGGAAAAATGAGTTAAAGAGGGCAAATTAATTAAGAATCCATAGTGTAATTTATGTCAGATAACTAAATATAAGCATCTACTCCCAATGAGCTTCATTATATAAAGTCATTCAAGATATGCACTTGAATGTGCTACTTTATAGGTTATATTTATATTAAAAATGTCTTTGCACTAATTTCAAAATTACTCATCAAATATGTGCCTACAGATAGTAACTTCAAATCATACCTCACAGGAAGAGTTGGGCATATCATTTAGGGGGATCCAGGGGTACTACTGTGGAATTGTTCATAACCAAAACATCTGAGATGATAGATAAAATTAATCTACTTTTTAATCTAATCAATATATTTCTCTCATGGTTCTAAAAGTCTCCATATTATACTTGTCCTAAAAAATCAGGCAACATTTAAAATTACTCTTGATTTCAGCAGATTAGATTCTCACCTAACATGAAGCACTACAGAACCTTTTGCAAAAATCTAATTAAGTCGTCTTAATTTCATTAGAAATGTGTTAACATCTATTTATAGATCTGTGATACAAAAATCATTCACTTATTCATCTCTGTTCTTTGTTTATCAGTGAAGTGCCATTTGTGTTTTATAGTTCTTATTTCTGCATTTAGTACACCCTTTCAGTTACAATTCATGCATTTACAGGCAAACATATATATTCATATACATGTAATCAAATACACATGGACATTCATTATACATATTTCTATATTCTTATTTCTTATACTTATGCTCTTCAGTATAGTGAGTGTAGAGACAATACATGACATCAATCTTTGTTCTTAAAAAATGCCAT